AACCGTCGTTCCGGGCCCAAGAGGACAAAACTTTCGTCCTGGGGATGTATGGACACACGCTCCCCGAACGTTCGCAAGCATGTTTCTGAGTATCCTCCTTCCTGCGTTGTCCAGTACACTAACCCTGCAGATCCTTCAAAATCCACAAACGCTAACCCTACAAACTCTAACCCTACAAACTCTAACTCTGCAGACCCTAACCCTACAGACACTCACTCTAGACACCCTACTAACCCTACAGACTCTAAACCTACAGACCCTAAGCCTACAGACACTAACCCCACAGACCCCACCAGACCTACAGACCCTAACCCAACAGACAGTGACCCTAGAAACCCTTACCCTACAGACCCTAACCCTGCAGACCCTACACCTGCAGACCCTACTAACCCCACAGACCCTAACCCTGCAGACTCTAACCCTACAGACTCTAACCCTACACACCCTAACTCTACAGATCCCACTAACCCTACAGACCCTGACCCCACAGACACTACTAACCCTGCAAACTCTACTAACCCTACGGACCCTAACCCTACACACTCTACTAACCCTGCAAACCCTAACAATACAGACCCTCCTAACCCTACAGACCCTAACCCTACATACCCTAACCTACATCGGAATCATGACCTGATGAGTTCGAGGACCCGGTTGAAGGCATGCTTAGCGAGATGTCTCGAACGAAACGTTTACGTTTAAAACGAATTGTTGAATTATCATGTCTGTTTCAATAATTTCGCGTCTTCAGACGTCTTGGAGGTCATCGAAGAGCGCCCCGAAGATGTTTCAAAACAGCTCTTGGCGCATCCTAGTGGTTCGAGAATATCTCAGGCGAAACGGCCATGTTTAAAGTTCCGAAGATTAGGCCAGCGATTTCAGCATCCCATGTTCCGAGGATGCCTCCGGCGAAACGCTCATGTGTGGCATGAGGCGCCTTAAGATACGACCCGAAAGATCGCGAGCTGGAAAGAATGTGTCAGGCGAAACGCGCGTTGTTTAAACCCTTCCTGGCGTGGACGGCAAGCGCACAAAAGCGATGAGTTGCGCAAGAATGTACAGCATCATCACGAGCAAATATGATGTAAGCGAGCTCTCCGAACGTTCACAACGGATACTATGGACACAAGCTCCCCGAACGCTCGCAAGCATGTTTCTGAGTATCATATTTCTCTCTCCTCTGTGCACCTGCAGTTTCCTCCTTCCTGAGATTTCCAATACACTGGCCCTACAGACCATACTAACCCCATAGACCCCAACCGTACAGACTCTAACCCTACAGACCCTGACCCTACAGACCCTAACACTGAAAGCCCTATCCCTACAGACCCGACTAGCCCTACAGACACTAACTCTACAGACTCTACTAACCCTACAGACTCTAACCCTGCAGACCCCATCCCCACAGACCCTAACCCTACAGACCCCAGTAACCCTACAAACCCTAACCCTACAGACAGTGACCGTAGAGGCCCTAACCCTGCAGACCCTCACCCGGCAGACCCGACCCTACCCCTACAGACCCTACTAACCCTAAATACCAGAACCCTACAAACCCTAACCCTACCAACCCTGCAGACCCTACTAACCCTACACACCCTACTATTCCTACAGACCCTAACCCTGCAGACTCTACCCCTGAAAACTCTAACCCTGCAGACTCTAACCCTACAGATCCCCCTAACCCTACAGATCCTGACACTGAAAACCGTACTGACCCTACAAACCCCGACCGTACAGACTCTAACCCTACAGACCCTCACCCGACAGACCCGACCCTACCCCTACAGATCCGACTGACCCTACAGACCCTAACCCTACAGACCATATCCCTACCAACCCTAACCTACATCGGCATGTCCATCATGATTTGATGATTTCGAGGACCCGCTCCAAGGCATGTTCAGGGGGATGCCTCGAGCGAAACGCTTACGCTTAAACAACAGAAGTTTTGAACAACCATGTGTTTTCAAGAATTTCGCTTATTGGGCCATCTTGGAGGACATCCAAGAGCGCTCTGAAAAGATGTCTCAAAACAGCTCTTGCCGCATCCCATGTTTCGAAGATGTCTGAAGCGAAACGGCCATACTTGAAGTTCCGAAGATTAGGCTAGCGAGTTCAACATCCCCATGTTCGTGTCTTGGGCGAAACGCTCAGGATTAGCACAAGGCGTCTTAACCTACGACCCCCCAGATCGCGATTTGGAGAGGATGTGTCAGGCGAAACGATCACCTCCCGTCATCCGCCACGTCTACGGCAACGACGGAACCCCACCACCACTCCCCGCCTGGACTCCCCCACTCGATAAAGATTTCCCTCTGGGCCCGGATGCAACATCCATCACGCGACTCTTCGAGTTTCCCGTCATACGGCAGGTCCCCCGCAAAGGAGCCACCCCGCCATCACCCCCACCATGGACCCCCCACTTGATAAAGATTTCCCCTCCGTGCCCAGATGCAACGTCCATCGCGCGACTCTTCGAGTCTAAGCGCGCTGCCCGTTACTTTGTTATACCCCAGAACCATCGGTGCACGCCAGAGGCACCTCCCGTCATCCGCCACCGTGCACCCTGGCATATTGAGGCGTGCTAGAATGCCAAGTGCGGCCTGGCAGGGTTTCTGCAATCTTCTAGAAGCCTACCCCCCTCTCCCCACACTGCCACGCGCGCATCGCCCTGACTCCTGGGGCCACAATCCCTCGCAAAATCCGCCGACCCTGTCGGCCTTTGAGAGGCTGGTCCGTTCGAGTCGTCCTCTCCGTCATTCGCGAGTCGTCGTCTCTACCGGCTCCTTTCCATGCGGCCCCCGTTTCCCTGGGCCCGTCGCCGCTCCCCCCCTTTTCCTGGGCCCTCCTCCCCAAGCGCGCCAGCCAAAGCGCAATTGAGCAACGTCGAAATTCAATCGAAGAGAAGCCCCCTCCCTTTGATCCCTCCCCCGTCGAAAATTCAATCGAAGCGAAGCCCCCTCCCTTTGATCCCTCCATGGTAGAGGGGGTGTCTCGGCGGGGTCCCGGGGGGGGTCCCTGGCGGGTTCCCACGGGAGATACGACTCGGTCCCGGGGGGTGTCGCCACCCAGATGCGCCTCCCCCCGGGGGGGGGCTCAGGTCCCAAAAAAGCCACAGGACACGCCAAGATGGCCCGAAAAAGGCCCCCAAGACGATCCCAGAGGGCCTCGAATCGCCGAACGACCTGTCCAAGACGCCTTGACGGCCTCCAGACGGCCCATGAGGCCTGCAAGACGCCCCAAGAGGCATCCAGGAGCATTCCCAAAAAGGTCAACAGGTTACAATAATGATGAATAACGTGAAAAATCAGATTAAAGACAGTAAACTTGATACCTGGAATCCTACGAAGACGAATGCGAGCACCGCAAACAGTACAGCGAGTAACACGATGGGGCATAGGGGCCGCGCGGGGGAGGGCAGAAGCTGCACGATCGGTCGCACGGCTCCGAGAGGACGCGAGCTGGGACCTGGGGGGGGCGGGGGGGGAGGGAAGGGGAGGCCAAGCTAGGCGCGCTCGCGTCATATCTGACATCCTACCCCTCCCTCCCATCCCTGACCATGGCGTCGATCCCCTCTCTACTCGCACAGTCGGACGTCGAGCAGGGCAGTGATCCCGAAAGGGTACGCGATGCACTGTAGGGGGGGGGGAGGCAGAGGGGCGGGGGGCTCCGCAGGAGGGGCGAGGGCGGGCGCCGGGCGAGGGCGGGTGGGCCCCGCGGGGCGTGGGGTCGCACGGGGACGGGGGGGGGGGAGCTGGGAGGGGGGAGGGGCACGAGGCCGAGGGGCCAAGAGGAGGGGGGCCGCCGGGCAAGAGAGGAGCGGGGATAGGGGAGGGCGCCCCGCGGGGCGTGGAGTCGCACACGGGGACGGGGGGGCGCCCCGCGGGGCGTTGAGTCGCACACGGGGACGGGGGGGGGAGCCGGGGGGGGGAGGGCACGAGGCCGAGAGGCCAAGGGGAGGGGGGCTGCCGGGCAAGAGAGGAGCCGGTGGAGAGCGCGGCGCGTCGGGCGGAGCAAGCCAGCGCGGGGTCAAGCACGAGCCGGCATGGCGATCCGTCGATGCCCACTCGCCAGGGGGCGAGGAGTCGCGTGAGGCGCGTGGCTGTCCCCATGCCCGTTCCAGGAGGCTCGTTCGGGCGTAATGTGGCCCGAAGTGACGCGAGGAGGCCACCCAGACTGTCCGAGATGGCCCAAGACGGTGCTTTCACAGTGGCCCCAGGTGGCCCCAGAACGATTGCACGATGGACCCGTAGCGCCAGCCCCCGAGTTGCCAAAATGGTTGAATCGCAATCGTTGGCGGCTGGTTGTGTCGCTCTCACAATTGCCCCCTCAGATGGGTCCAGAATTCTTCAGACGACACAAACGTGGCCTAAGAGGGCCCCAAAAAAGTCCACAGGGGGCCCGACGGGCCCAACAGGATCCCAGCTGGCCGCGCGAGGACTCTGGAGAGAACCAAGACTACACATACAGGCCTCCAGGAGACTCCCAAACAGCCCCAGAGGGGAGGGAAAAGCGGGCACAAGGGAACAGTGCGGGAACAAGGGAACAAAAAGCGATCACAGTTCGGCGTTTTGAAAAGGGAAAGGAAAGGATTGAAGAGGTTCACTGCGACAGAGAAATCGAACAGACGCGAATGTATAGCAAAAACATAAGAATACGGATGGAGAGCTCAGGATAGCAAACGTAACAAACTGTGGGCATGGTAGAGGAGAGGAGGACGGGACGAAAAGGAGGAAAATGTGATGAACGAGGGCAGACAGCAAAAGAACAGACGCCAGGTGGCGCGAATGGGCTGCGATTCCCGAGCCGATCTTGAACCGCACACTGCAAGCCTCCGGACGAAGACTCGTGCCAACGGGGGATCTGCCTAGGCACACCTGCTCCCAAGCTTGAGCGGGGCATGTAGAGAACGGGAGCAAGGGAGAGAGCGGACGAAAAAGGTAGAGGACAGGGTGAAGAGGAAAAGGCATAGGACGTGTAGCATCTGGACTTCTGGCCTTGAGGTGTCAATTCCGAAGGACTGCGCGAACGACATGATTTCCATGAACTCTGCCTCGCAGGGAGCTGGATCTGTCGCCATGCGCCTGCCTCGTTTCCTGCTCAACCTCCTACTCCGCCTCCTTATCCACATCCTACTTCGGTTGTTCATCTTCCTCCCCGTCGTAAGCATCATCATCGTCATCGACAGCAAGCATCGAACATCAATCCTCAACCGTCACTCATCAATGACCAATCACCATTCACCAATCATCAATCACCAGTCGTCGACCAGCGATCATCAATCGACATCATCTCCATCATCATCGTTCATCTGCAGCAGCATCATCATTATCATCATTAGCATCCTCATCATCCTCATCATCATCAGCACCATCATCACCAACAACAGCATCATCATCATTGTCAGCATCCTGATCCTCATCATCATCTTCATCCTCCTCATCAGCCTCATCCTCCTCATCATCAGCAGCAGCCTCCTTATCCTCATCTTCATCCTTACCCTCGTCATCATCAGCAGCATCATCGTCATCATCTTCACCATCATCAGCATCATCATCCTCCAGGCCTGCGCCAGGGCGCCCTCCAAAGCCCCCTCTGGCACCCCTCCTCCGTCGTGCTCCATCGGGCACACCCCCCCCACCACCGTTTGGCCAGGGGCGCCGCCCGCAGGCATCGTCGAGGCGCCGCCCAGGGGCATCGCCGTGGCGCTGCTGGGGGGCCTCGTCGTGGCGCCGCCCAGCGGCATCGCTGAGGTGCCGCCCGGTGGCACCGTCGGGGCATTGAGCGGAGGCATCGTCGCAGCGCCGCCGAGGGGCATCGCCGTGGCGACGCTGAGGGGCATCGTCATGGTCGCGGAGGCCTCCGCGAGGCGGCGACAAGAGCAGTGCCAGTGCAGGGAGCGGAGGTCGGTTGGATAAGAAGGATGTGCGAGACAAAGCGAGAGGTCAGGGACACCGAAGGAGAGGAACACATAGCGAGAGAGCGAGAGATAATTATACACAAACAACAGCAACAACAACATGAACAACAACAACAACAACAACAACAACAACAACAACAGCAACAACAACAAAAGCAGCAGCAGCAGCAGCAGCAGCAGCAGCAACAACAACAACAACAACAACAACAATAACAACCAACAGCAAAAACCGCATCAGCAGCAGCAACAACAACAACAACACAAACAGCAGCAGCAGCAGCAACAACAACAACAATAACGGCAGCGGCAACAACAACAACAACAAACAAGAACAACAACCGCAGCAACAACAACAACAACAACGTCAGCAGCAACAACAACTGTTAACACTTACACACCGGCCACATGTGTATGCACACCGATGTATACATGCATACAAATATAATGGACATAAACATGTACATATAGCCATGGAATATACAGTTGTGGATGCCTTGGCAATGGACACTCTAACAATCCAATCATTGATTTAAAGATGCATTTAAAATGTGTAAAACATGCTCTAAAAATGTGTCAAACATGACGCCTTACATTCCCGCACACGTTTAAGCATCTTTTAGACATATGGAAGCTATGTGGCAGCATGCTTCCTCTCCATTTAATCGACGTCCACACATATACAGGGGGAGGGAGAGAGAAGGAGAAAGAGAAAAAGAACGAAAGGAGGACAACAACAAACATGACAACAACAATAACAAAACAACAGAGGGGGAGGGAGCGGGAGGGAGGGGGGAAGAGAGAGCGCAACAGTTCAGAGCAGTTCACCTAGGCCTAGCAGGGCGTAGCGCGCAGCTGCCGTTCAGGCCTACCCCGCGTTGGCGGAAGGTGCCGCACAACGAACACGGGGGGGGAACAAAACACCCCCCTGGCGCGAATTGAGGGGTGTCTGGCTGCACATAAAAAAGCGGTTCTGCGGTGATCAAGACGCGACACGCCCCGTCAGCACACCCGCAAAAAAGGCGCTGGCTTCAAGCGCGATTTGGCACGCGCGCATCGCCACCTCAGTGAACCGCGGCGCCACCTCGGGGCATCCCCCGCAGCGGCCCAACGCAAAGGCCACGGAACTGGTGCCAGCTGCTCTCGCAACGCAACCGCAAGAGTAGAGGCTAGCACGGGCATGCTAGAGGTGAGATTCAAGATGCGCCTGGAGGATTCCGTGGAGCATGGCCCCTAGAGAAGCGGTCGGATGTACAGTCTGTCGCAGGTCGTTCCAGGCGGAATGAGCTCGTTGGAAGCTGCCCAGCAGAGGGCCCAAGTGTTCCTGTTGCAGCGCCGCGAAGCTAGCGATGGGAACCGTTTCGCGTTCCCGATCTGGCCGTTGCCTGGCAGCCATGAGGTGCAACGCGAGGGCGCGCCTGCCATCCGTTCGGAGAGTCGTTGGTGCCCCAACGATGCTTGCACCCTCTTGGGCGATAGGGCGGCAGCCAGTCCCCGTGCCCCGGTGGGAAGGGGAAACGACCTAGTGGCTATGCGCGGTGGCCCCGGAAGCGGGGCCCCGGTGGACTTCCGCCCCTCGAGACACCGCACCCGAGTGCCCTTGCTGACACCGCTCTGCGCTTTCATCGTCGGCGCCGCGACCGTCGCTATCGCGACCTCCTGATGTAGCACCGTGGTTTCGTCATCGCTGTCCAAGACCGCACCTTAACCCAATGGGTCCTCGTCTTCGCCCTCAATTCGTCGGCTGGCCTGCTCCGCGGGTCGTCGCCGTCGTCGAAAAAGTCCGGCCTCGGCGGGCCTCGGAAGCCCCCCGGCGGTTACGGGAGGTCGCCAGATGGCCCGGCGGCTCGTCGCTCATTCGCCCTATGATTAGCGGCGCGGGCCCCATCTCTTGCCGAGTTCAGACCTAGAGGAATCCGCGCGCCTGTCTGGCAAGGGCAACGCGTGATAGCGACGGCCATGAATCACGGCAGCGGCGCCGTGGAGACTTTGCGCCGCCGTTCGGCTCCGTCGACGACGTCTCGCTGGAGGACGCGCGGGCGTGCCCCGGCAGTGGCGCGCCCATCCGCGCGGCGGTTGAGAGCCCGTGCGATCGGCGCGATTCGACGATCAATCACGGCTTGCTCGCCGAGGTGGCGATGGACCCTCTGGAACTGCAACGCGTCGGATTCGGCTTGCAGGACACGGTGTCTCTTCTGCCGGAGATCGGCCTGAGCACCAGCGAGTTGCGGCGGCCACCCCGCGGGGAGGGCCTTGAATCCGCGGACGGCGGCTCGGCTGTCAACGAAAACCTGCACAGGCCACCAAGAAGTAGCCACCCGGCGGAGCAGGGCGATGGCCCCAGCGCGCTGCGCGGACTGGGCCCAGCCGCGCACCCGAGCGAAAGGGTTCAGCCACTGGTCAGACCCGCAGTGGATTCCGCAGCAGACCCGGCAAAGAGCGGGCAAGCCAGTTGCGCGAAGGCCCCGCTGGCTGCATGGACCCACCCGGCCCCGCGCCGTCGCCGGCGCACTCCTCGGAAAGATCCGCTTGGAAACCGTCGGGGGGGGGGGGCGCGGAATGGTCCGTGGGAGCACGTCCGGCACTGGGGCGGCATGAAGGCCGAGCAGCTGCGGGTCTTCTTCGAGCAGCTCGCAATGCCTCGCGAGGCGGGAGGTCTCCCCACTGCGGATCAGTCATCATAGTTTTCGAGGCGGTCCGTCTTCTCCTCCCAGCAGGGTCATTCACGGACCGGTGTTCCTGCGCTTCTTTTCCTTCTTATTCTTCTTCTTACAGTTACTATTCTCCGTTAGGCCATCCGCGCAGCGGCGACGGGTCGGCAGCGACGCCCGCCCGCGCGGACTTTCCCCAGCCGAGCGCGGCCACCGCGGCAGAGGTGATTGCGGGCGGCCGAGCTGCAGGGCAGTGCGTTAGCTTTGCCTTTGGTTATGTCTTACCAGGTGTTGGCCAAGTAGTCGAGAGCTTGTCTGACCGCGGCGACCGCGCCCAGGTCGGCCCCGGCGGCGGGGGGGCGCCGGAGGGGGAATGCATCTGCGACGCTCGGAGCACGCGGGCGACCGAGCCGACAGGAAGGTGCAGCCATGAAAAAAAGGCACCCCTGTCGTCATGCATCGTGCCGAGGGATGGCCAACTCCACTCCAGTTGAGCTCTGGTTTGCCAGGCTCTGCCAAAGGCGCCACCCCCTTGGAGAATCCGCGCGTGGTCGCGCAGCTCTTCGGCTCCAGCGTCGGGACCGGCGTCTCTCCGCGCCTGCCGCCGCAGACCGAGAAAGGCCCTCCGTGCGCGGCGGCGCCTATCTCAAGGGCATGTCCGGGGACAACGAGAGCGTCCGCTGCGAGGCCCAGAAACGCCCCTTCGGGCGAATGGCGGCGAACGTCGGGCTGTTATAGAGGCCGGGTGGGTTGCTGCCTTCGGGGGACGACGTTGCCCCCAACTGGTCCCAAATTGGAATGACCTCGTCAGAGCGGGCTCCTGGCTGTCGGTGCCGCCCCAGGAACTGGCCCCAAGTGTCCGACGTGGCTTGACATGGCTCGCGTCTGTCAGGCTCTGGTTTTGCCTGTTGGGTAGGGGGGGTCTTGGAAGTCACGCTCAACCCCGCCGTCCGCGCGCGAATCCGGCGACTCGCAGCCAGAGGGGAGGGGCGCGCCCTCTCGCTTACATTCTGCCGCCCACGTGCCCTGCGGCGCGGGAGCGGTCCAGTGCGCGGCTCGCGCAGGTAGATCGCGCTGGACTTGTCAGCCGCATTCACCCACCGGATGAGGGCCCTGCCTCCGTCATTGGCACGCGTCCGGGTTCGCCGAGCCTTTATGCGTTCGGCCTTCTGATAGCTGCACCTTCTCAGGTGCGCCCCTGCGGAGACGATGAGGTCGCCCAGTGGCAGGTCGGCGGGGAGCTCGCCTGGGTTCCATGCGCGGGAGCCCCGGGAGGCAGGTAGGTCGCTGCTTTGGGCAAAGACGCCAGCCGCCATCGACGCGCGCTTCGTGGGCCCCCACACACGAATGTGGCCGGTGCCACGCGCGCTGCAGTTGGCACGGTGCTGCCCCAGCTCGTACTTTACAGCTCTGACTTGGCGCCACGACTCGGCGAGACTGGCGCGGGCGCGCCGGGCCGCGCCGCGCCCAGGCCGGATGCGAGGGGCGGCGCGCGCGTCTTGGCAACGCGGCGTTTTGCACTGCTGGTTCGGTTGTCCGCGCGAGGTCGAAGTGCGCGCCCACGCGGCTGGGCGCCGCAGCCTCGTCCGTCCGAGCGCGGCAGGAGCACCCGATGCGGCTTCCAGTGGCTCGTAGCTACACCCAGCCATTAGTCGGGCACGGGAGCGGCCATTGCGCAACGCTCTTCATTCTCCTCGCCGCATGTCTATGAACATCGAAGTCGAAAGACACAAGGGGCCAGAGATACTGCTTGGTGGGAAGAACGAGGAACAGGGCGACATTGGCGACGAGCTGTCTACCTTCGCTGTTGGCGAAGCCTCAACAAATGCCTTCCTGCTCGTTTTCTGGCTCTGTTGGCCGCGCCCCAGACCAATTGGAGCAGGGGCGCGCTGCCGGAAACCAATTTGCCGTGGACAGAAGCCACAGATACTGCAGGCGGCGGCATTCCGTCCCGCGGCGGCACTCCGCGCGGCGGCCGCGGCAAGCACAGGGATAGGGAAGAAGGCTTCCGCGCATCGCGGGGTCGCGAGGAGGGCGGCGACGGATCGGACGTACTTGGCTGCGTCCACAAAGGTTCACTGCGCGGCGATGCAGACACCTCCATGCGTGGCTGCCGTGGAGCGGACTCTGCGGTCAGTTGCCCCCCCCCGTGTCCTTTGCGATGAGCGCGATCGCCCTTGGGGCTACGTTCCCAGACTGGTCGCCAAGCACCGTTCTCTGGTGAGCGGACGCTCCTGTCGAAGGCGTGGAAACGGTCGAGGGCGCGACGAGCGTCCTGCGCGGAGACGATGTGAACACCGTAATGTTCTCGAAGTTTGGCAAAGACTTTCCTGTTGACACCGAGGCCGATGACGCTGACGCCCGCGAGGCGGGCCATCTGCGGGCCATCGCCGTCAGCGGAGGCAGAGCAACATCTGACTTCGAGACCGCGGCGGTGGAACTGGCGCGGGCTCTGGACACAACCTCTGGCGGGCCCCTCGCGCCCGACGGCGCGCCAAGGGGGGCCCGGCCACGGAGGCTTCAGAACTCCAATGCTCATCCCAGGCACAGAGGGGGCGGAGAGATGGCACGCGGAGCGGCGGCGGCCAGACCGCAGTCGCCAACGAACAGGGCAGCGGCGACCATCGCAACCGTCGCCCGCTATCCGCAACGCAACCGTCGTCGTCGTCGGCGCCGGCCGCCGCGTGCTCGAACACGCAGCCGCGCACAAGGCGCAGCGTCGACCGCCTGCCGCTCCGTCTGCGCAACGGCCTGCCCAGCGGACTCCGAGTCGTTGCTGGCGCCCGTGCTCGTCTGGTGGGCGGGGGGCTGTCGATGTCAGCGTCGGCGCTGACCTCGCACCGTGCCACCCGATCTCGGTGCATCGTCGGGTCGGCTGTCGCCGCACTGGTGAGGAGGCTGCTCGCGGCACCCCTTTGCGCCAGCGACCCCGGTGGATCGCCGTCTTGGCTCGGCGCGCTGCGCAGTGCGTGTGCAGGAGTGGCCGCCTCCCAAATCTCGGGGACAAGTGGGAGGATGGATGCAAGCACCCGTTAGGCCATGGGCCCAACAATGGCCGGTGGACCTGCTAGTGGACCTGCTAGGCTGCCAGGCGCGCCAGCGCCCGGAAAAGATGCCCGAGCTGCTGCAGCTGCGCACCAGTTGGCAACGCTACTGGTCTGGAAAGCGAACCTTGCACGGCATGCTTGTGCCGCGAAGCTCGGTGCCTCGCTGGGTTGGACGCTGGAGCTACCATCTGGCGCCGTGTTGTGCTCGCTGCTCACGATCGCGGGTTGCTGGCCGTCGTCGCCCTTCCCGACTTGCGGGGAGATGTCGGACGGCAGCGCCTGCGGTGGATTCGCTTTGGGTGGTACCTGCTGGGCTTGTCAAGCGTGGAATGGCCATCCTGTCGGCGGTGCCTTGGGGCCGCCACGAGCCTATTGCTCGGCGGCGGCGGTCGACCCAGCTTCGGGGAAACCCTCCGTGAAGACAGCGGGGGCGAGTCAGTGGAGGGAGCGCGCCAATGCGAAGCGTGGAATCTCGGCTCGGATGCTTGCTGCGGTGATGGCGCGCGGCTCGTCTGACCCCGCGCTTCCTCAACCCCGCAAGTCAGCGGGACTACGGGGGCGCGGGGGGCGTCGTCACCCGGTGGCGCGTCTACCTCGTCAGGGAGCGAGTGGCTGGGAGATCTGGAGTCAGCGTCACTGGTTCAGGCGGTGGCTTGCAGTCGCGGGCCCCTCGTGATCGCGAAGCCGCTCTTCTCCGCTGGTTGCCCCAGGGCCATGAGACCAGCGCGGTATAGGTGAATCACTTGGAACTGCTACGTTTGTGGACAGCTCTGCTGCTTTAGGATCGGGGGCAAAGGGCCCCGTGGCCAATGGGCCCATCGGGCTGGGATCAGCCACCACTGATATCCCCCCCACGGAGGGACATCGAAGAAGAGGGATTTGGAAGCAGTGTCTGATTTTTCCATATAAGTTCGGCATCAATCCACCTGTCTGCGTCTTCATGTACTCTCTTTGCTAGAAGCTCCATGGCGGTCAACGCTTGAACCACACCTCTTGATTATTCCATTTGCCTGCGAGTGCGCAGCCACATGCCTGACGGACCTTTCTTCTGGAGAGACCACTGTTTGACGTTATATCCGTGTCGGGGAAGAAATGACGGATCCCCCAGCTGCAAAAAGAAGCCTCTGACAATTGCTGGGCGGTTCACCGCGGTGAGTGACACTCTTCGGAGGAACGGCGCACTGCGAGAGAGGCTCATCCGCTTCCATTTCATGGGCCAGGTGCAGCTGCAGTGGCCGTCTGTAAAGTCCCCCGGCAGGGGGGTCGTAGCCTCATGGGTGCGCTAGCGGACCCTTTGGCAGTGCCTGGTGGCATGGCGCCGACGGCGTGACCAGGCTGCGGCGCGCACAAATCGACGTTGCGGCCTCTATGGTGGGAGCAGCGGGCCTAGACTGACGGCGCTATCGCAGGTCCAGTAGGGCGCACTGGCAGTCGGTAGCGGCGCTCGGGTCACTCGCAGCGCGGGCGCCCGGGACCGCCCACATGTCGGGCCCCCCCATCCTGGCGGACGCACAGACCTATAGGTTGGCAGGGTCCCCTCCGTGCTGTCAAGTAGACCCCGCCATGTCTTGTTTTGTCTGTCGCCGCACCAAGCACAGTTCAGGGCACACACCTTGCACGTCTGTCGCCCCCCACCCGCGCCAGTCCCAGCGACACTGGAGGCGCCGCCGGGGGGGGCCCAGCGCGGATCCAAGAAAATCGTATATGGCGATTTTTCTTCTTCGATTGGAGGGCCATGCTGGCGTTTTCGAGAGGGGCTGGCCAGGGAGAGTCACAAAGGATGAGCCGAAAGGCCAAGGATGCAAGGGTGGCCTTGGTTGAATGCTGCTCTCATGCTTACTGTGCGATTTGACGGCATGCCCTGCTGCCACGGGAATCGAAAAAAAATGAACATCGAAAAGGGAACGACGTATCCAAACAGTTGCCGCGCAAGGGGAGTCCAACTGGTCCAAAGGGGCGCGTGTTTGAGCGGCCCAAGATCGCTGGAGCCGCAACTCTCGACATCACGCCAGTCACAGCAGGCAACACAAACTGAAACGCCAGCCCGGCCATACCGAGGGGGGAATCACCACACACATTTCGCCGCTGGGAGCGCTGCTCCCCCCTGCCCCGTCGGCGGCGAGCGAGGGGCGGAAATGAGAAGGGGAAGGGCTCATCAGATGGCGGCGGTACTTCTCAGAAGCCCTCGCGCCTTCTGAGAAACTGTTTCCCCACATGTTTCGTAGGGTTATGGTTTTCTTCCCACCCGCGTCGCACCCGCGTCTTCCTCACATCACCTCCCGCCCCCCCCGTTTCTCCTCCTCCTCGTCCTTCTTCCCTTCACCCACACGCAACACATGCACTGCACGTGCATCAGACACGCGTCTACATGCAGCCGCACAGCACAGCACAGCTTAGCTCAGCACAGCACAGCTCAGCACAGCACTGCACAGCACAGCACCTCAGCACAGCACAGCACAGCACAGCACAGCGCAGCACGACGGTCGTCAAGGGCACAGCAGGCGTGGGGGGTTGTCGACACCATAGAGGGTGCGCAGGGGATGGTCCCTCAGCGCGGCCTCTATGCGTGCCAGGGTCGGACAGCGTGGCGGGCGTGGCACTTTGTCGCCACCAGAGGGGGTGCGCCGGGGGGGGGGTCCCTCAGCGCGGCCTCTATGCGTGCCAGGGTCGGAAAGCGTGGCGGGCGTTGCATTTTCTCTGCGCCATAGGGGGTGCGCAAAGAGAGGTCCTTCCAGCGCGGCCTCTATGCGTACCAGGGTCGGAAAGTGTGGCACGTGTGACACTTTCTCGACGCCAGAGGGGGTGCGCAGGGGCTGGTCCCTCAGCGCGTCCCCTATGCGTGCCAGGGTCGGACAGCGTGGCAGGCGTGGCACTGTGTCGCCACCAGAGGGGGTGCGCGGGGGGGGTCCCTCAGCGCGGCCTCTATGCGTGCCAGGGTCGGACAGCGTGGCGGGCGTTGCATGTTCTCTGCGTCAGAGAGGGTGCGCGAAGAGTGGTCCCTTCAGCGCGGCTTCTATGCGTGCCAGGGTCGGAAAGTGTGGCACGTGTGACACTTTCACGACGCCAGAGGGGGTGCACAGGGGGTGGTTTCTCAGCGCGTCCCCTATGCGTGCCAGGGTCGGACAGCGTGGCAGGCGTGGCACTTTGTCGCCACCAGAGGGGGTGCGCGGGGGGTGGTCCCTCAGCGCGGCCTCTATGCGTGCCAGGGTCGGACAGCGTGGCAGGCGTTGCACAACTTTCTCGACACCAGAGGGGGTGCGCAGGGGGGGGTCCCTCAGAGCGGCCCCCATGCGTGCCAGGGTCGGAAAGCGCGGCAAGCGTAACACTTTCTCGACACCAGAGGGGTGCGCAGGGGGGGTGGTCCGCCACGGTGCGTGACAGGGCCGGACAGCGCGGCATGCATGGCGGCAAGAACTGTAGACACCTTGGCCCAAACCGGCTCGAATGCTGCAGGTGCTGTCTTGCCGCCCGCGCCGCTCATGCCGCCCCAATGTCTCATTGACACACTGCCGCCTCCGTGTTTGAATCTCAAGAATTCCATGGCTGACGCAGGTGTCGAGGTTAGCATTCTGAACTTGCGCCGTTGTAATGCAGCGATGGTGAAACACGCATTTAATTCTTACCATCGGAACCCGACACCTTCCCCTCCTCTCCTCCCTCCTTCCCCCCCTCCCCCCCTCCTCCCCCTGTAGTACTAGTAGTACAAGTAGTAGTAGTAGTAGTAGTAGTAGTAGTAGTAGTAGTAGTAGTAGTAGTAGTAGTAGTAGTAGTAGTAGTAGTAGTAGTAGTAGTAGTAGTAGTAGTAGTAGTAGTAGTAGTAGTAGTAGTAGTAGTAGTAGTAGTAATCGTACGTTCGTCGGTCGTCGTCGTATCGTCTTCGTCGTCGTCGTAGTCGTCGTCGTAGTAGTAGTAGTAGCAGCAGCAGCAGCAGCTGTAGTAGTATAGTAGTAGCAGCAGCAGCAGCAGTAGTAGTAGTAGTAGCAGCAGCAGTTAGTAGTAGTATTAGTAGTAGGTAGTAGTAGTAGTAGGTAGTAGTATAGTAGTAGCAGTAGCAGTAGTAGTAGTAGTAGTTAGTAGTAGTAGCAGTAGCAGTTTAGCAGTAGTAGTAGTTAGTAGTAGGAGTAGTAGTGGTGGTTGGTAGTAGTAGTAGTAGTAGCAGCAGCAGCAGCAGTAGTAGTAGTTAGTCGTAAGTAGTAGCAGAGTAGTGTAGTAGTAGTAAGTGGTAATAGTAATAGTAGCTAGGTCGGTCGTTCAGTCGTCGTAGTCTAGTTAATGTGTAATAGTAGTAGTAGTAGTAGTAGTAGTAGCAGTATAGTAGTAGTATTAGTAG